CTCCTAAAAATCAAACACTTATACTCATCAAAAGACTCACCGAAAGAGTCAAAAGACAACCTACAGACTGGGAAAAAATTTTTGGCTACGACAAATCTGATCAGCATCTAATCTCTAAAATCTACAAGATACTGCAAAACCCAACAACAAAAAGACAAACAACCCAATTAAAAAATTGGCAAAGGATATGAACAGACAATTCACCAAAGAAGATATTCAGACACATGAAGAAATGCTCAGGATCATTAGCCATTAGAGAAATGTAGATCAAAACTACAATGAGGTATCATCTCACCCCAACAAGGCTAGCATTAATCCAAAAAACACAAAATAATAAACGCTGGAGAGGTTATGGAGAGACTGGAACACTTATACACTGTTGGTGGGAATGTAAAATGGTACAACCACTTTGGAAATCGATTTGGCGCTTTCTTAACAAGCTAGAAATAGAAGTACCATACAGTCCAGCTATCCCGCTCCTTGGAATATATCATAGAGAAATAAGAGCCATCACATGAATAGATATATGCACACCCATGTTCACTGCAGCACTGTTCACAACAGGAAAAAGACAGAAACAACCTAGGTGCCCATCAACGGATAAATGGATTAACAAATCCACACAATGGAATACTATGCAACGATAAAGAACAACGATGAAGCCGTGAAACATAACATGGAGGAATCTGGAGGGCATTACGCTGAGTGAATTTAGTCAGTCACAGCAGGACAAATACTGTATAAGAGCACTGTTATAAGAACTTAAGAAAAGGTTTAAACACAGAAGACAGAATTTTTTGATGGTTATGAGGATGGGGAGGGAGGGTGAGGGTTATTCACTAACTAGATAGTAGACAAGAATTATCTTAGGTGAAGGGAAGGACAGCACACACTATAGGGGAAGTCAGAACAACTGGACTAAACCAAAGCTAAGAAGTTTCCTGAATACAATCACTTTAATGGACAGAGAAGCAGGGGTACGGGTCTAGGGACCATGCTTTCAGGGGACATCTAGGTCAACTGGCATAACAAAGCTTATTAAGAAAATGTTCTGCAACCTACATCAGTGAGTGGCGTCTGGGGTCTTAAAAGCTTGCAAGTGGCCATCTAAGATGCATCAATTGGTCCCAACCACCTAGAGTAAAGGAGAAAGAAGAACACCAAAGACACAAGGAAAGTATTAGCCCAAGAGACAGAATGGCCCACATAAACGAGAGACTTTATCAGCCTGAGAACAGAAGAACTAGATGGTGCCTGGCTACTACAAACGACTGCCCTGACAGGGAACACAACAGAGCATCCCTGATGGAGCAGGAGAAAGGAGGGTGCAGAACTCAAATTCTAGTAAGAAGACCAGACTTAATGGTCTGACTGAGACTAGAGGAACCCCAGAAAGCATGGTCCCCGGATTCTCTATCAGCCCAGAACTAAAACAATTTCCAAGGCCAACTCTTCAGACAGGGATTGGACTGGACTGTGGGACATAAAGTGATACTCTTGAGGAGTGTGCCTCTTAGCTTAAGTAGATACAAGAGACTAAACAGGTAGCTTCTGTCTGGAGGTGAGATGGGAAGGCAGAGAAGGAGCTGGTTGAATGGACATGGGAAATCGGGTGGAAAGGGGGAGTACGCTGTCACAGTATGGGGACAGCAATTAGGGTCACATAACAATGTATTTGTAAATTTTTGTATAGGAGACTAACTTGAAATATAAACTTCATTTAAACTACAACAATAAAAAAAAAAGGAGAAAAAGAAAACCATCACTAGTTCTATATTTATTTTGTATGACCTAATCAAAGCTGTAAGGGAACTTAATTAAGCAGCCTCACCAAGATAATCTTTTCTTCAAAGGCAAACTCTTCAGTTGGGTAATAGGGTCATGGCATCATAGGATGCTTTTGAGAAGCCTGCAATGATCCATCCAAAGCTCAGTCTTAAAGGTTCTAGGAGCTCTTTAAAACTGTAATTCTAAAGTTTAACTCAAATGCCTGTAAGCATGGCCACACTCTGAGACTTGTTCTTCCTCAGATGGGTTCTACATTGAAGATCTTGAACCTCTGAAATTCCCCTGATGTACTACAATCTCCTAGTCTTCAATTTCTCCATTTCCCCTACTTCTCCCCTTCCGCTCTCACTGCGACCTCCAGCCTCTTTCCCTAACCCTTGATCCATCAACCTTAAGTGGATTCCACCGGCAGCCATTTCAAACTGCCTATAACTAGGAATAAGAATAATATCTAATGTGTAAGTAGCACCTCACAATTCAGAAAGGGCTCTCTCAGGTCTTTTCTTATTTGATTTTATTCGCAATAGGTCTTATTATTATCCCTCGTAAAGAAACAGCAAAAGGGACTCTGAGCTTATTGACAAAAGATAGTAGTGAATTATTTATTCTTTTGTCCTTATGTCTGCCTCAGTGGCTTAAAACGGCAAGAGAGTGGCCAATGACTGAGAACTACTTGTGACGCTGTATCCACCACTCCCACTGTTCTCAAAGAAACCCTCTGGTGTGTGCAAGGCCTCAGCACATGGATTCAGTCTCGTTAGCATTCCAACCAAACAATCAGCTCTATCCTGAGAAGCAATACAAACTAGATAAAGCAGGCAATAATGTGCACTGGCAGTGACGCAGTCAGAAAAACAACACTCGTGGTAAACAGAGTTCTACTTGTAGCTGGCTCGGTACATTAAAAAAGAAGTTAAAATAAGTCAAAAGAAAGTAACCATGACTAAAATAAGGTATATGTCTTTTTGCTTCCAACTCTCTTGAAAAAGTAACACAATGCAATACTATAAATCTTCAGTTAATTAATTCTAAGTTTTTGCAGCCAGCACTGTACTCTCATCCTGCATTAACACCATCTGTCTACGATGGATATTTAGTTTTCACCCACAACCTGCTTCCTAACCCTTAGAATAAATGCATCTCCTTAAAAACCAGAAGTGTTCCATTCACCAGAAGGGTGTAAGGGTGTTTTAAATAAACAGGTATCATTACTTTATAATCTACTGCTGCCATCTCCTGTGTTACTGAAGCAGCATCTTCACATTCATGAACAAAAGCAATAGTGTTTAACAGGAATAATTCTTACTGGTCAATCATGGCAAATTTTCTACACACACCAGAAAAGAAAAGCTTAATTCTGTTACCTCTAAGTGACTTCGCCTCTCAGCAATCACACGTTCATCCTTGTTTCCAAATAGCTTCTTTGGTGGGAATTCGAGGGTAGCAAGCTGAAACACATATTTTAAAAGAGCTGCATTAATATCACACCTATGGGCTTTGGGTTATTATTCATCTATTATTCATCTATTATTCAGAATCTCTATTGGGGGGGTAAGAAGAGAATGAGACTGGATGTTTTAAAGATGGTGGGTCTTGCTTTGCTTTGCCACCAACTACTGGCTGACCTTGAAGAGATTCCACAGCAGTCAAATGCGAAGGTCAGATGATGTGAACTCTAAGCAAGGACAGAAATGATTATAAATATTCTGTCTCAGATGACATATCAGACTCTGCGCCAGACAGTGCTTCCCAATTTGTTTTCTGAAACACAAGTTCATTCTTCTCTCAGTACCCTTCATATACTGGAATTCAATTATTTTTGTGTTGAGATGAGAATCTGAAAATACAATCTACACATTACCAGAACATTTTGTAAAATAGTTCTCAGACCGTTGCTAAGGTTCTTCATTCCATATTGCCTTTTTCCAGTTACTACTGAAAGGGAAGACTGCTCATGGAGAAGAAGATTTCTCTTTGAATTGTTTCACCATGTTTCCTAGAAAGTGAAGCTTCATAATTTGGTTCAGCCAGGTCTTGGAACGCCACAGTCATTTTCCTTATGCTTCTCTTCTTGGAGGTATAAAACTCATCATAGTAAGCTATGCTCTATTACAGACTCCAGGCAAGAAAGGGCTCTGATCTCGTGAAAACCTGGGCAGCCAGTGTTGCTGTGGGTGAGTGAGTGCTGAGCAGCAATAATTGCTGGTGCTGATAGAATTCACCACTTCCTTCCTTCCTCACCCTGTTGGGTTCAGACAAATTGAGAAGCCAGTGAAGTATTATCAAGAAAAAAAATGAACTTTCTACCATATAGGTCACAATATGCCACAGAATTCTTTTTCATATATACATATGCAGATACTCAGTTTATTTAAGTTTATACTGCTGCAGTAAGAGTCAAAAATTAACACCTTTACATATGGTACTTTAAACACTTAGTATTGAAGTACAATATACATACAGAAAAACGTACATATCACAAATGAAGGATCTGCTGAATTTTGAACATCTGAACACATGTGTAAATTGCCACCAAGATCAAGAAAGAGAATCTTGCCAGCAACTCAGGAGCTCCCCCGTGGGCTCCTTTCAGTCACTAATCCTCCTGCAAACGTGAACACTAGACCAGCTTCTAACAGCACAGGTTAGTTTCTCTTATTGTTGAACTTCATGTGATGGTATCATACAGTACAAACTTGTTGTGTCCATCTTCTTTGGCTCAACACCATGTTTGCGAGATCCATATGTGTTATTACGTGTAGCGATAGTTCACGTACTCTCACTGCTATATAGTATTCCGTTGTGTGAACATTCCACAATTTATATGTCCGTTCTTGCTACTGGGCTTGGTTAGTTTCCAGTTTTTGGCTATTAGGAATTATCTGCCATGAACACTCTTCTATAGGCCCTCTGATGAATATATGTTCACATTTCTGTTGGCTATACTCTTAGGAGTGGAAATGCTGGGTCATACGGTATGCATGTATTCACCTTTAGTCGAAACTATTAAACAGTTTTCCAAACTAGTTTTATTAACTGAACACTCCCACCAGCAGTGTTTGAGAGATCCAGTTACTCTAGATCTTTACCAGTGCTTGGTATTATAGACTTTTTCATTTTAGCAACTGTGGTGGGTATGTAATGGTTTCCTACATGGTTCAAATTTACGTTTCTCTAATGACAAATGGGAGCTCTGGCAGGGGAGTGGTTAAGAGATCGGCTGCTACCGAAAATGTTGGCAGTTCGAACCCACCAGCCGCTCCTTGGAAAACCTATGGGGAAGTTCTACTCTGTCCTATAGGGTCGCCAGATGTTGGGCACCTTTTCACATGTTCACTTACCATTTGAATAGTCACTTTTGGGGAAGTGTCTCTTTTGCCCATTTTTATTAGGTGTTTGCTGATTTTTCTTATTGTTTAGAGAAATTTATTAATATATGCATTTTACATATCTTCTCCCACTTTGTAGGTTGTCTTTTCATTCTCTTAAAGTGTTTTTTGATGACTGTACAGTCCTTTTTCAAAGTTAACTGAGGTTGAGGCAGATGTTTGTTCTTTTTGCATTCTAGTGCTTTTTCTATTAAAGCAGAGAAACCTTGGGGGGTGGGGTAGGGTGTAGCACCAAGGGATGGATTCACTTTTTTTTTAATTTACTCTTTTGCTCCTTTCCTCACCAATGTGCCAATTCTGTTACTTTACTTACATTCAACTTTAAAACCAGTTCAAGGTAAAGTGAAAGCGCATGAGCTGGTTTCACTCTCTGCCTGACCACTCACTAGCTAACTACTTGTGTTTCTCTGAGCCTGAGTATTCTCCTCTGAAAAAAAATGCAGATGATGATACCTAACTGGTGAAGAATTAATGAAGTAGTGGTAGTAGCTATAATTACTAGTTGTTAGAGATCTTGTAATTACCAAGATAGTAGCACACTCATATTCCCTTGTGTCCTCTTTCTATGCACTGGACTGATTACATCGCTTCATGAAGCAAAGGGATTTCTGGAACCCTGGCCTCACTGGCACAAACACACGCCCTCTTTGTTGCAGCGTAGTGAAGACAGGTGCACCAGAGCCTATCTTTTGGGCTAGATTTCATTTCACACAAATTTGTCTCCCCCCCAGTGCAGTGATGTTGAAAGCTTGGCAAGCATTCTTTCACAGTTGGCTGTTTTGTTGTTTTCTTATGTGGCTGATAAGGTGATGCAGTTTTTGTCAGGGGAAATTTATAGTCACACTCGCATGCTAAATCAGCAATGGTGCTGATTCCGACTCACAGAGACCTATAGGACAGAGTAGAACTGTACCATAGGGTTTGAAGGAGTGGCTGCTGGAATTGAAATGTGGACCTTTTGCTTAGCAGCCAAGCTCTGAACCACTGCGCCACCAGGGCTCCTTAGGGAGAAAAGGACAACCTTAAATGACTTCTAGGCATATAATCATAAGACTATGATATTCAACTGTCAAACTTCAGAGATAAAGAAATGTAAGTCCACAGTTAAGTGACTTAGAAAGGTTCAAAGTCATGGGTGACAGATTCAAGACGAGGAACCAAGACTGGCTCTATGTCTTTCACATCAAGGGTGTAAAAGGAAGTCTGTAGTGTATGGGGAATGGCTTCCAAGGAGGCACGTGTACTGCTAGTAAGAGCCCCTGTGAAGCCTCTGGGGGTCCAGGATTCAGGTTAAAGACAGTTAACTCCTCCCTGCATGTATTAAACCTGAAATATGAATGCATGGCAGCCAGGCAGCGCAGATCTATAGTTTCAAAAAGAGTGGTCAATTGAACCCCACCAAGGATCTGTTCCCCAGCAACAGAACAGGAGAACATGGTCAGCAACAGCAGTGGGAAATGACAAGAAAGGGGAATGGGTCTGAAGGTGGGCTCCTCAGAAGTCCATCCTGGGACATAAAAAATTAGTTAGCTCCTTGTCACCTTGTTGTCGTTAGCTACAGGTGAGTCAGCCCCCGACTCATGGTGACCCCAAGCACAAATGGAATCGGGCCACTGTGATTCATAGGGTTTTCACTGGCTGATTTTTCAGAAGTAGATCACCAGGCCTTTCTTCCTTGTCTGTCTTAGTCTGGAAGCTCCACTGAAATCTTTTCAACATCATAGCAACACACAAGACTCCACAGACAGATGAGTGGCAGCTGCAAATCAGCCACATTGTCTAGAAACTGAACCCAGGTCATGCGCATGGTGACCCGCATGATGACTGAAGACCCAGATGAGCTGTGGGATGACATCAAGGACATCATATATTAAGAACGCAAAAGGGCATTAAAAAGATAGAAAAACAAGCAAACAAACAAACAAAAAAAAAAACCAAAATGGATGTCAGAAGACAGTCTGAAACTTGCTCTTGAATACAGAGTAGCTAAAGCAAATGGAAGAAGTGATGAAGTAAAAGAGCTGAACAGAAGACTTTAAAGGGTGGCTTGAAAACACAAAGTACTATGATGAAGTTTACAAAGACCTGAAGCTAGAAAGCCAAAAAGGAAGAATATGGCTGGCATTTCTCAAGCTGAAAATACTGAAGGAAAAATTCAAGCCTCCAGTTGCAATACTGACGGATTCTATGGGCGAAAAATTGACACAGGAAGCATCAAAAGAAGATGGAAGGAATACACAGAGTTACTGTACCAAAAAGAATTGGTGGACGTTTAACCATTTCAGGAGGTAGCATATGATCAAGAACCGATGGTACTGGGGGAAGAAATCCAAGATGCACTGAAGGCATTGGTGAAAAACAAGGCTCCAGGAATTGATGGAATAACAACTGAGATGTTTCAAAAAATAGATGCAAAGCTGGAAGCGCTCACTTATCCATGCCAAGAAATTTAGAAGCCCTGGCTAACTGACTGCAAGAGATACATATACATGCCCGTTCCAAAGAAAAGTGATCAAAAAGAGTATAGAAATTACCAAACAATATTATTAATATTACATGCAAGTAAAATTATGCTGAAGATAATTAAAAAACGGTTACAGCAATACACTGACAAGGAACTGCCAGAAAGTCAAACCTGATTTATAAGAGGGCATAGAACGAAGGATATCATTGGTGGTATAAGATGGATCATGGCTGAAAGAAAAGAATATTAGAAAGACATTTACCTGTGTTTTATTCACTATGCAAGGGCATTCAACTATATGGATCATAACAAATTATGCATAACATTGTGAAGAATGGGAACTCCAGAACACTTAACTGTGCTCCTGAGGAACCATTATACAGACCAAGAGGCAGTCGTTTGAACAGAATGAGGGGATAATGCTGGTTTAAAATTAGGAAAGGAGTATGTCATGGTTGTATCCTTTTACCATACTTATTCAATCTGTATGCTGAGTAAATAACCCAAGAAGCTAGACTATCTGAAGAAGAACGACACATCAGGATTGGAGGAAGATTCATTTACAACCTGCGATATACAGATGATACAACCTTGC